GATTCCAAAAGCGGTGCAGCGGCAGCAGCGGCGAATCGGCCACGGCGGCGCGTGAGGTGCACGCTCGGTCTTCCGGGGCGGCGCGTGGGGCAGCGTGCGGCTTCGGCTCGTGCGCTGCTCGGCAGCGTGCGGCTTCGGCTCCTCCTCTCGGATTTCACCTCGTATACTTCGATCTACTAAACACGTGGCACTAGACACGTAATAGTTAGAAAAACGGAAGAAAAAGAGAAGGAAAGAAGCTACCAAACCAATCGGCCGATGGACGGCCGATTCCGGCAAAACGGCGGGGAGGACGGCGGTGGTGGCCGCGGAAAGAGAGGGCCGAGAGAGAGAGGGGTGGACGGCTAGGGTTAGGGTTTGTGTTGTGTTGTGTTGTTTGTGCAAGACCTATAAATCAAGTATTTATATGTCTTGCATAAAACCCTGGCGGGCTTAAGTTGGATCGGGCCCAACAGCTTAAGTCCGTTAGTACTTTTACTTGCTCGTCTCTCTTAATTCAATGACCGGAAAATTGCAACAATTACATTTTCGGAATCATTATAATATCCTCGTCATTACGAGTGCCATCTTTCATTTTCCAACTTTCCAAAAGTGGAAACCCTAGTTCAGTGCACTTTCTAAATTTGGAAACTTCCCGATTTAGAAAGTTCACTAACACGTTCGCCTATTCTTTTCCTTTTCTTATTCTCATTCATAATTCCAAATTACGAATGTTGGATCCAATCATATTGACTTCCAATCATGCAAAGATAAACTATTTTATCTCTGACCGTTTATTCAAAGATCTCATGTGCACGAGCAGTGTGACCCTCGATGGTTCAGGTGTAAGCTAGCCGTGGGCCCACAACTCTTTGTGGTCAAAACTCGTCCCTTAGAGTTACGATTAAGACGAAGCTCGTTTCACCTTAATCACCCAACGAATCAAGATTGGCGTCTAGCAACTACGCGTCATGATTCCCTAGATACAAATGAAGTGCCTGCAAGAACCTTCAGATATAGTTAACGTACAGTACGGTCCCTTCGATTCCTATGTCCCGATCGAACTAGAGGCATTGGTTCATCGAGACCTCTTTATATGTTCGATGACGGTGCGATCGTTCTAAGTGTTGTAATCCTTACGTGCATGACTTAGAGTATCGAATTCTCTAATCATCACTTAGTCAGCTCTGGCCAGAGACTTAGAATGATTACAAACTTTCAGAACACACAGGACATCCAAGACTATTCTAGCGATCGAATCCCCGACTACAATGCACAGACCTCCCACTAGATTTCGGACGGCACGAACACTGGCCCTTGGGATGGTCCTCGGTGGAACTCAGGGACAGGTCACGATACAGCTGGTCCTCTAGTGAAGTCACGGTGATGTCTAGGTCATAAGGACTAATGGTGTACAACTATACCATAGATATCTCTACTCGATTATTGGGAACCACTTAGAGATTTCTAGGGTAAGGGAGTTCAGTGAACTCGTCAACTTACGAGCACCCACTTATGTATGCCGGTATCACAATACCGTTTACTGATGAGATGCAGTACACATACACTAAGTGCTAGTATTAATGGGAAAGGCCGATATCCTCATTAGTGGCGTAACCCTTCGACTAGGAACACGTTTAACAGTTATAATACTTGAGTAAATATCTCACGATCCTAACGATCAATTACTAGTACTTGTAATAACTGTAAGGACTATATCTATGCTTGTGACAAAGGGACAAAGATATAGAATAAAGGTTCGTTTATTAATACGAATAAAGGTTCGTTTATTACAATAATAAATACGAAAGACCACAGCCACATGTTGGCTTGTTGGTCACCTACTCTAACAATCTCCCACTTGACCTAAAGCCAACTACCCATAAATCGCAATCCCATCGACTCTCGATGTTTCTCATGGACCGATCTCGGTAAAGGCTTCGTGAAGGGGTCTGCAACGTTCTCTTCCGAGGTGACTCGTTCTACTTTAACTTCACCTCTATCAATGATCTCTCGGATCACATGATACTTTCTCAGAATATGCTTCGACTTCTGATGAGATCGTGGCTCCTTAGCTTGCGCCACGGCTCCGGTGTTATCACAGTACAACGGTACTGGATCACTAGCATCAGGAATTACACCCAACTCTTGGATGAATTTCCTTATCCAAGTCCCTTCTTTTGCAGCTTCGGACGCTGCAATGTATTCCGCTTCGGTAGTGGAATCGGCCGTCGTGCTTTGCTTGGAACTCTTCCAACACACGGCACCACCATTAAGCGTGAATATAAATCCAGAATTCGACTTTGAGTCGTCCACATCCGATTGAAAACTAGAGTCAGTGAAACCCTCTAATTTCAACTCGGCACCCCCATACACCAAAAATATATCCTTAGTTCTTCGCAAGTACTTGAGGATATCTTTCACGGCTTTCCAGTGAGCCGGGCCGGGGTTAGACTGATATCTGCTTGTGACACTCACAGCATACGCAATATCGGGTCTCGTACATAGCATGCCATACATTATGCTTCCTATGGCAGAAGCATAGGGCGTCCTTTTCATCTCCTCGATTTCACTAGGTGTTTGCGGACACATAGATTTCGAGAGACGAACCCCATGGGACATTGGCAAGAATCCCTTCTTGGATTCTTCCATGCTAAACCGTTTCATTACGGTGTCTATGTACATGCTTTGGGATAAGCCAAGCATCTTTCTTGCTCTATCTCTATAGATGCGTATTACTAATACGTAAGATGCTTCTCCCAAATCCTTCATTGAGAAACGTGTGGACAACCATGCTTTTGTTTGTTGCAGCATTCCTACGTCATTCCCAATGAGTAGAATGTCATCAACGTAAAGCACTAAAAATATCACTGCCCTCCCACTAACCTTCTTGTATACTCAAGGTTCCTCCGGATTCTTCTCAAAATCAAACTCTTTGATAGTTGAGTCGAATCTAATGTTCCAACTACGGGATGCTTGCTTCAATCCATAAATGGATCGCTGGAGCTTGCAAACCTTTTGCTCACTTCCAGAAGATATGAAGCCTTCCGGCTGCGCCATGTAAATTTCTTCCTCAATGTCTCCATTAAGGAAGGCGGTCTTCACATCCATTTGCCATATCTCGTAGCCGTACCACGCAGCTATGGCCAGCAAAATCCTAATGGACTTCAGCATCGCGACTGGCGAAAAGGTTTCCTCATAGTCAACACCTTGCCTTTGAGTGTATCCTTTTGCTACCAATCTAGCTTTATAGGTCGACACCTTTCCATCCACTCCAATTTTCTTCTTATAGATCCACTTGCAGCCTATAGGAACAATTCCTTTGGGTGGATCTACCAAGGTCCATACCTTGTTGGAGTACATGGAGTCCATTTCGGATTTCATGGCAGTTAGCCAATGTCCCATGTCCGCATCCGATACGGCCTCATTGTATGTTCTTGGATCTTGTCCAAGCTCAACATGATCTTCATCATTTTCGAGGAGGAATAACCTATCCGGCATTTTCCGAACTCTTTCGGATCTACGTACCGTAGGTTCAGGAGGTATATTAGTGGTTTGTTGTATTGGTTCGATCACTTGTTCTTGCGTTTGAACTTCACTTTGTGGTTCTTGAACTACTTCAAGTTCTATCATGCTGCCCTTTCTATCGGATAGAAACTCCCTTTCCAAAAAGGTGGCATTTCTCGAAACAAACGTCTTTGCTTCTTTGACATAGTAGAACTCGTATCCCATCGAGTCTTCGGGATACCCCACAAAATAGCACAAGTCGGATTTACTATCCAACTTATCTCCCACTAATCGCTTCACATAAGCGGGACAACCCCATATCCTAATATGTTTGTAGTTGGGTTTCCGGGAATGCCAAAGTTCATAAGGTGTGGATTTAACTGCTTTGGTGTTAACTCTATTCAGCAAATACGCGGCAGTACGAAGTGCATGACCCTACAAGTATGCCGGTAAGTTTGTGAACCCCATCATTGATCGAACCATATCTAATAAAGTTCGATTCCGACGTTCGGAGACTCCATTAAGTTGAGGAGTTCCCGGTGGAGTCCATTGGGATTGTATCCCATTCTCTTTTAGATAGTCAATGAACTCGATGCTCAAGTATTCTCCACCACGATCGGATCGCAGCTTCTTAATACTTCGTCCGAGTTGCTTCTCTACTTCGTGTCTAAAATCTTTGAACCTTTCAAATGTTTCAGACTTGTACTTCATCAATTACACATACCCATACCTAGAATAATCGTCGGTAAAGGTAGCGAAGTAGTTATATCCACCCTTCGCACTAACACTTAGTGGACCACATACGTCTGTATGGATCAAATCCAAAAGACCCTCGGCTCGTTCCATTTTCCCTTTGTAGGGTGACTTGGTCATTTTCCCTTTAAGGCAAGATTCACAAGTTTGTAGTGATTTCACGTCCTCCAAAGAGAACAATCCTTCACTGACAAAATCATTCATCCTTCTTAAAGAGACATGACCTAATCTAGCGTGCCAAAGTTGTGCGGGGTTTTGATCTATCTCCTTACGTTTTGCTGATATAACATTAATAGGTATTTCATTTAGATTTTGTTCATACCACTACAACATAAAACGCCATCCATAGCGCTTGAAAAACGCTATTACAAGATACTATAGCGCTTGTACAAACGCTATGTCTGCCGAAGCTATAATAGGTCGAACCTCTAATATAGCGTTTATCAAACGCTATGATAGTTGCATCTACAATAGCGTTTTATCGATGATATTGTAGGCCGTATCATGGCTTCATAAAAACGTTATTGTATGTTTATGATAGCATCTCGAGCGCAATTATATAATGCATAGCGCTTGGTTATGGCTCCTTAAAAGACGTTGTGTAAGTACTTATGAAATTTCTATAGCGCTATTACATGTATTTTATAGCGTGTCTGGAAGTATTAAAACTATGATAGCATTTTCTAAATTGCAATTGTATTCCTTTAATAGCGTATATAAAATGCCAATTGAAATGCTACAAATGGATGTTTTAGACATCATTATCCCTTCAAAGCACTTACAAAACTCCATTATAAATCTGTAAAAGACAGTGTTGAGGTTTTATTAATTTAAACAAAAAAAATACAATAACATTTTTGTGAAACATCAAAGATAATCAAAATCAACAATTGTCATTGATACATCTAAACTAATAACAAAAAATGGCTATCTTGCAGTATCCATATTATGTTGTAGTTCCATATATCATCCTTAAACCTGTTAAACAAAAAATAAAATAAAAAATTACTTAAGTTAATGTACAGATAATGGTTGTACAAAGAAATAATTCATACAAGATATTTTTAAAGCATAATCTGGTCCAAACAATTTTGCTATGCAGTTGAGAATTTTACAACTCTAAATATTTAATGCAAAATTGTGGGACACATTCAAGCTTCTCTTTTCTATGTTTTGAAATACTAGGGACCTGAAAACAGACACAACAATGCTAGATTAAATTTTTTATTTTAACTAACATTTGTTCTTGTCAAACATTTAAATAGAGTCATTCCGTGATAAAAGATCACTTAAATTCTAAATAGTTAAACAGAGATTTACATACAAGGAATGGAACAATCACATACGACATGTAACACAACAAGGTTAAAAGATCATTACCCTTCTCGCGGAATAATAACATAGTTGTCGTCCATCGCCATCTTGTTCACAAGAAAATAAAAGCACATTGTCCTCTGCTGAAATATCGGATCGTCAATCAAGAGTTAGTTTCCACTCAAATGGGAGAAATAATATTGATTGACAATAATATTGTTTCGAAACTAAAAGTACGTCAATTCAAAATTTAACTCAATAAGAACAACCAATAAAACAAAGAAAAAATAAAAAAGTAAAGAAGGATATTAACAAAAATAATAAGATTCGAGAGCCTGATTTTACTCTACGTTAAACTGCCAATGGTACTAAGAGATATTATTAGCAGGACTAATAAACTTCAACATTAACAAGTTAAACTGTTTTCATTCAAGTTATAACTTGCCTGATATATATCCTTTTTAAGACTTGTATCTCTCATCAACAATGATGTCCTTTTGCTATTTCAGAAAACATATAAAAAATTAACTAGGGGAAAATAAATCTTAACAAGTTCGTATATCCCTTGTAGGAAAATCTTAATTAACTTTCTACGTAGTTATCTGGATTATGGGAAATGTCATGGAACGGCCTACCAATCAATAGTGGCTAAGAGTCAAAATCCTTCCAATATTGTTCTAGGGATGAAAAGGTGTGAAAATTTTTTTAGAAAATTAAAAAGCTCATGAGGAAACCAGATACATTTTTACTCCACAAACTATCATTACTTATAATTTCAATCAATAGAAGGCTAATATGAGAAATTCCAATGTTAACTATCACAGTTTTAATTTTCACAACCATATACACTTACAACGTCCCAAAGACTGCATAGACAAAAACAAAGGGTTCGTTAGACTTTGTTAATCAACAAAGGGGTGACGATAGTATTATAATTTCAAGCTAAAGGTAAATAATTTGGCCATAGTAATCAATGCAATATAGAAACAAGTCACAAACAACTTGACCAACAATTAAAATAAATTTAAAGTTTTATAGTTATCCATGATTCCAAAACGAGAGAAGATGCACTAAAATGCGATTTAATGGAACTCTATTTTCAACAGCTCAAAATTTCTACCTCCAAACAATTACCAATAAATAAATACACATATGCTTCACTTGTGTTTCACCATCTGCACACCCCCAACCCCACCTACAAATAAAAACTACAATAAAGATAAAAAAAAAATTTACCAAAACATAAAATAAAGACAAGATGTAGGAATTTTATAAATTAGTGGTGAACCCTAATCGGTCTGCTCGGTAATTGTTTCCATCTAACAAATCTCAGATTGACGATTCTGGATATTCTTCCAATAAAATTGAAATTAGGTATTTTCACAAACAAAGATAGTAAAATTAGGACATATAATGAGAGAAATAGAGATTCAGAGGTATCGACTATGGTTGAAATAAGGAGAAAAATAGATACGACTCACAGATGAATGTTATTAAGATTTGACGTTCTGGCTTGGATGAAGAAGGGGTTTGATAGAGATCCCAGGCATATTACGAGTTAGAGATTTATACTAGGCAAAAATAAATTTTGGTGCTAGGATCGCCGTATTTTTTATCTTATAGCGTTTTTCCATTTATTTTTATTAATTATTGAGGACATAAAATACAATTACAGCAGTTCTTTTAAAAACGCTATAGCCATATGCTATTAAAAACCCATTTTCTTGTAGTGTACAAGTTGTTTAATAGTCGTCCTTTGCAAATTAAATTCTCATTCTTTTGTATAATGCAAATCGAATTTCCAAAAACAAAAGTAAAACCTTCAATATCTAATACAGGAATAGAAATAAGGTTTCTAATGAGCGACGGAACAAATAAACAATCGTTCAAAACAATAGGAAAACTAGAATCCAAAACATTTAAGTAAATTGTGCCAATGGCTTCAGCAGCAACTCTTGCTCCATTCCCCATCCTTAGGTAGGTCTCACCCGCTCTAAGTCTTCGACTTCTTGTCATTAGCTGAAAATCATTGCACAAATGTGAGCCACAGCCCGTATCCAATACCCAAGAAGAAGAGTTGACAGACAAATTTACGTCAATGAAATACGTACCCTTTTCAGAACCTTTCTGCTTTAGGTAAGCCTTGCAGTTGCGGCGCCAATGTCCTTTCTTTCCACAGTGATGGCAAGCATCATCAACTTGCTTACCAACCTTTGCTTTGGGGCCCCCACTACCTTCACCCACTTCGAACTTGCTGTTTGGGAAGGGAACTCTTTCCTTTCTCTTCTTTTGGAAAGAACTCTTCTTTCCAAAAGTAGCAGCAATGGGAACAGACTTCTCTTTCTTAATGGTGGACTCGAAGCTGACCAACATGTTCATTAACTCATCCAAGGGAGGATCTAGTTTGTTCATATTGAAGTTCACTATGACCGATTCATAGGAACTAGGAAGAGACAACAGGATCAAATCCAACGAGAGCTCGGCCGGGAGGGTGACATCAAGATTCACTAGCTTTTCAAGGAGAGTGATCATTTTGAGACAGTGCTCGTGGACCGAAGTCCCTTCCCGCAATCTCGCCGTGATCAACTCCTTTGTAGCAGCGTACCTCGATGCCCTAATATTCTCACTATACATGCTATCGAGATGAGCCTTTATATCGAAAGCATGCAAGTGAGACTCATATTTCCTCGCAAGCGCGGGCTCCATGGCGGCTATCATATAGCACCTAGCATGAGTGTCATCTTTCTTCCAAACTTCATAAGTTTCCTTTTCAGCATCAGTCGCTGTGGCAGGTATAGTGGCGGGAAGTCTCTCGTTCAAAACATAGAGACGCCCCTCAACAGTTAGCACAAGCTTAAGACTACGCAACCAATCTAGGTAATTAGGGCCATTGAGTTTATTGTCGAGGATTGACATTATGGGATTCTTAGACATGATTATCTGAGACATACAGAGAAGAGGATTATTAGAGATTCGCTTTAAATGATTGTTACAATGAAATGTTTGGACTTGTGTTATTTTAATTGTTCTCCCACTAATTTTATCGAGTTCCACTTCCCTCTAGTAGACAAACGAGAAAACTGCTTTTTCTTAATGGGCTTTAGGTCCAATAGACAAATATAACCCGTAGTTAATCTAGCCCGATTATATTTGCCCAAAGGTAGATCACAATCAATCATATCAACAATATGACCCTAAATTGATTTTCCTCACACTTGATAATGACCTAAGTTAATCTCGCGAATATCAAAATCGTCGTGTGTCAAGTCTAACCTACCAATCAAAGATGCTCATAGAACTTGATTATGCCAAACTAATGCAGTCCCTAGTTAATCTAGCCGACCACGTTAATCCAACATAACCCTTTTCTATGGCTACCTTCATCGATATGTCAATTGAATTACAGCTTACTCTACCATAGCACTCCCCGCTAACACGGCTTACTGCACTACAGCAAAGGGCTACACATAATCCAACCGTTGGCAGAAGGAAAGAAATAACTCAACAGATTGGGTTTTTCTTTATAGCTTGAAATGATTCTCAATTAGATTAAGAATGAGGGGTTTTATTAAAAGTTTTTTATCTCATCAGAAGGTTCGGATTGGTCTATGTGATTCCTACATCTATGTTCTCTAAAGGTATATGGTAACGCATATTGTCCTAAGAGGAACATACGACCTAATAACATAATTAATTACATTAATTAATTATCGGGTTTTTCAAAATAATTATAGGACCTCAACTAGCATAAATCATTCAAATAATGTTGAGGTACTACTAATTAAGTTGAACCATAATCAAAATTATATATGTGTTCTATTAATTGAAATCAATTTAACGATTTAAATTAATTAATTAATCGAACACCTATTTACTAAAATAAATGATTGTCGATCCAATTATCTAATTGGGATTAATTGAAAATAATTTTCCAAAAACTAAAATCAATTTGTTTTAAGTTTAATTTTAGAAATCAGAAATAATTTTTTTTTTTTATTTTTTTTTTTTATTTTTTTTTTTCAGTGAACCGGTTCGGCCCAACCGGTCTGACCGGTTGGGACCGAACCGGTCCCGTTCTGTCCGGTCCAGCTGACCCAAATCAGTGGGCCGGGTCAGTCGGACCGGGAACAGGTCTGACCGACCCGAATCCACGTGGATTCGGTCAACTAGATCGCACACAACCATCGAACCGGTCGGTTCGACCGGTTCGATCCGATTAAACAAAAAACCGATGTTTTAAAAACAATTTCAGATCCGATTTTCCAATTTTAAACAATTTTAAAGATGGAAAAATTCTAAACAATATTTCAAAAATATTTTAAACTTACGAAAACTCCCAATCACATAATACGACAATCACTACTTTAATAAATCGAACATGCATAAAATCATAGCATATTAAAACGAACGCAATTAATTGCGCAACGAGCTCTGATACCACTGTTGGGTTTCGGGCACGCATACGCAGCGGAAAACAAAAATTTAATGTGATTTAAACGACTTTAAAGCACACAAGTACATGCCCGACAAATTAAAATCAATTAATTGCGTACCTTTGCGCTTCCAGCGAAATTAAATACAACATACATGCTAAATAATTTAACCGAATTTAAATCAATTAACATGCTCGCGTTTAAACCAATAATCATGCTTGCAAAGATTAAAACGATTACACATAATCACATAAAATCATACGATAGAAAACATGAATTCACAGTTTAAACGTAAACGAATCGAAACTAGGGTTTCGTGTATTTACCTCTTGAAGCGTGAGGTAGGAGTGTTTAGCAAGTCGAGATTGCTACGGAAACCAATCCGTACAATCGGGGCAGCAGCGGTGCAGCGGCAGCAGGGGCGAATCGGCCACGGCGGCGCGTGAGGTACACGCGCGGTCTTCCGGGGCGGCGCGTGGGGCAGCGTGCGACTTCGGCTCCTCCTCTCGGATTTCACCTCGTATACTTCGATCTACTAAACACGTGGCACTAGACACGTAATAGTTAGAAAAACGGAAGAAAAAGAGAAGGAAAGAAGCTACCAAACCAATCGGCCGATGGACGGCCGATTCCGGCGAAACGGCGGGGAGGACGGCGGTGGTGGCCGCGGAAAGAGAGGGCCGAGAGAGAGAGGGGTGGACGGCTAGGGTTAGGGTTTGTGTTGTGTTGTGTTGTTTGTACAAGACCTATAAATCAAGTATTTATATGTCTTGCATAAAACCCTAGCGGCCTTAAGTTGGACCGGGCCCAACAACTTAAGTCCGTTA